GTAAGGTTTAATGTTGTGACGATTGAGAGTCACTTTATAGGCTTTCGACAGACAAGAGGTAAAATCAGACATAACAGACATCTTAGACATCGTTAGTTCAACAAGGAACAGCCGAAAAAAATACTGAATCACATTCGCACTTTCCATGGATTATGTCGTTTTGGCTATAAAATCTATCACTATATGCGCTATCTAACAAAAAATAAGACATCTTTAACTCATAATTAGTCATCTACATTGCTTACAAAAACAACGTCAAAATAAGACTTGCAACAAATAAGTTCATTCAAATTTTGGTACACAAACACCAAATGTTCAAAGAACATTCCTCATCATGTGACAGAAATCTGATGTGCAGACAGTAGTCGATGTTAACCTGAAACATAGCGATCTGATTGTCACGCAACTGTGAATCGTGCACAAATAAACAAGTTGTTAATGCGTCATCAAGATTGCTTGACTACCGCCTATGGTCTCATTGATTCTCGATTATGCTGCTGGCATCGATTATTAAGTGGTTCTCTGCCATCTTCGTTTCAGATGTGTGCGATAACCATGTGCGGCGGCGGCTCACTTAATCTGCGTGCATGGAGATGACCCACTGATCCGACCAAAAGCGAGACAGACGATAGAAAGCGATGCACCAGCTGTTTCAGCAACGCGATGAAGATGTGACAACAAAGGAACAATCTATGCCTAACATCTATTTGGTCATTGCATGCAACCGTCTAATCCAGAAGAGTCACTGACCTCTAAAGAGTAACGACTTAAAAAAGGGGCTGTATCTGTAAACAGATATATTAACCACGAAGTTTGTACGTGCTTGCATTTGATTAGTACTGAATTAAACCTCTTCGCTTAGAACGGCAGTCGCGTGTCGCATTTTATTACGAAATTGTTCACTCAATGCGCTGCGGATTCAAATGTTTTAAAAGGTTACTCAGTGTACCCTTGGTATTCAAAATGGATCGTTGAAGCATATGCGCGCGTTCTGTTTACAATGACACATCAGCATCAGCACCACCGTATGAAAACGTTATCCGGAACATCAGAGGAAGACAAAATCCACCATTGGCCCTGCTAAAGAACAGCGGCGGGAAACAGATCCAAACATCCCGCTTCCCATTCGTGTTTATCACTACATTTCTAGAAAAAAATTACACTAAACCAGTCTAAAGCAGTTTCAATTTGTTATAGAAGAATATTCATATCGGTCTATTTTTTGAGCAGTGAAAACAAAAAAGAGTTCATTTCCTCATGGAAACAAATAATCAACCCGATTCTAGTCAAATAAGACACGCCACAATCGTGACTTTAAGTAGTTATTTACTATTGTATTATATCTAAATTTAGAAATAAAGCAAAAGTAAAACGAATAATGTCCGTTCATCAACATCGTAAGCATGGTAGTATGCATGCGTACATTATGAATCGTCAGGATGTCGCCCACCAGACCCCCGGGTTGTTTACCTGGTAGAGTGTCGAACTCAAAACCGAAAGTTTCTGAGTTCTAAACCAGATCAGATCACTCACTCTTCTTTGTTCTGAGATTAATAAATGAGTAACACTCTGTGGGAAGGAAACAGTAAACTACACACTACGCTTATTATGTAGCTGAATTCGTCGGTGCCTTTAAAATAAGGCAAACTTGATTGATGGCATCGAAACGAAGACGAGCGCTACACTACTAACTTCATGAAAATATGAATGCCAGAAATGGGCTCCTCATGAAAATGTAAGGGAGACCGACATTCAGCGGTCACAACATTCTTTCTTACCTTTATCCTTCGTTACCTTATTAAAATCTGCTACTCCAGTAGTCAAGACACCCGTTTCTTCCTTGAGAGCATAGGCAGTGATGATTCTAGAATAATAAAAGTTCCCAGGAGACAAACAGCAAACGTCATTATTTTTTACTTAGTCTTCTTGCGAATTTCAAGCATGAGCTGTTTTGTATTTTCCTCCATAAATTCGATCTTCTCGTTTTTGCGTGCTAGAGTTCTCTGCAGTTTCACGATCTTCTCGATCATTCTTTGATTGCATTCCGAAATCAACTAAACAGAAAAACTAAGACGAGCTAACTCAGAGATACGACAAATGACTTCGCGCGAGTAACCTGGCTATTGTAGCTAACCTCGCAGCGAGGACAGGCTTCGACGGAAGATTCAGCCGGACGGCAGTTGACTACTTCAAAGGAAGCAAGCGAAGACGGTGATTCGGCCCTGCTGTGATCTTCGGTCACCGGCGAATCAGCCGACCCTTGTGACGTTGCCTCATAATTCTCCAACTTGCCTTTCAAAATGCAAAACTCGGCCGTCAGTTCCTGTAAAGTTCGTGTGAGGCACCATGCATAAAAAATGATCTTTTTTAGAAGCACAACCTTCAATTTTGACTGGTACTTTTTCTTCATTACTCGAGACGAATTCTTCTCGTCTTCCAACTGCACAGTCAACTCTTGTTCTAGAAGAAATAAAATCAGTATCGCAAATCACGCGGCAGTCAAGACTGCAATGATACACGGAAAAAAGCAACGAAACGATGTATTGAAAAACTCATTGTCAATATACCTCCACCAAAATTTGAATTATTTACCTTGAAATTTTTAACAGTATAATGACTTCAGGCATTCTGATTTCGCCTTCTGCTATATAGGCTATTACCAGGACTGTTCACAAGCAATAATTGAAAAATTCCGTTTCGCGGTGGTTTGAACTATAATCAGTACTACGGTACCAGCGACAGGCGAAAAACACAACCGACTCTTCATGAAACACGTCCTTCAGATACCAACCGAAGCGTCAGTAGTAGTTTATCATCTGATAAAACGAAAACTGACGATATGCCTAAAACCGTCGTCTATGCTGCTCTTAATATATGACATTAGATGGGTGGAAATAGCTATCTCTGGTGTTAACAGTTAATTACTGGAGAGTAAGAGAGCAACAACAAATTACAGATTGTTAGGCCGGGGTACCATATTATTCAGTTGAAACCGGAATCACAGCAAATATCATAATCAGCCTGTTTCGATCCACTGTTGGATGAAGGAATTAAGACTTGCTACAGACTTCTGTTTTCAGGAAGTTTCATTCATCTTGATCCAGTGAACTTCTTTAGTTTATCCTGCCATCGATCTGGGTGTTCCGAAGGGCTCGCTTGCAATCTAGAGTAATCTCTAATCTTTAATCTCGCTTGCAATCTAGAGTAATCTCTAGGGTCCAACAACGGTCGATTCTTCTTGTAAAGTATTCGGGCGATTTCCACTTTAACTTCTTTACTTGGGCAATGAGTTTGTATTGCTGTGTGTGCTCTTACCCAATCATTCGTCCTCCCATCTTTTCTGCTTAGTCCACACATATTTTTCAATGCTGAATTTTTGCGTAATCTAAATTACATACATTACTTTCAGGATTAGGGTTCACTTTCTCAGGATTTATAACAAACTTTCATGGCTCTTCAGGTTTCACAATGACTAAATGTGCCATAACCAAATCGTTCAATGAAGGATGAAGCAGCAAATAACAAAAAATGCCAACTGCAATATATGCATATATATCATAATCGATGTGTATGTGACACAGTAATACTCTGTAGTGGGCAATCGATCTTGCCCTGACATGTTCATTGTTCTGGCCAGACCAATTCATCAATGTTCAATAAACTTTCTACGAAGGGTGAGGATATGTTTTACCCCTCTGTCTGTTCAAACGTGTCTACGATTCTAGACAAAAGGGATGCAGTGCATATCACGGTACATTATCACGAGGGTGGGTGCTAAAATTGGGGTCGATATTAATCAGCTAATGAGAGCGAAGAAGGAAAAAAAGAAAGCATGTAACTATTGGAATGTCAATCATAGTTACTTTTCATGATTGTGTAAGCGGGTGGGGGACATTAGTAATGTTCTTTTTTTCATGAAGTGAATCAAGATGGCTATTATCAATTTCCAGGAGTGCCTTATTTTGAAAGAAGATTGCCAGCAACTTTGTGGCAAGCATGGCTCCTGCTTCCTTTTCACAGAGTAGCATTGGTTCATCAGCCTCAGAAGAAGGAAAGGTGAACTCGTTATGAGTTATGGCGTAGCGGAGTAGGTTAATGTCATAGAAACTCAGGTCAATTTTTTAACGTTAAAACATGCTAGGCAAGTGTATGCAAAGTTCAGGGAAGCGAGGACGACAGGTTTCGTTTGTTTACGTTTCACTACTTGCTTCGCCGGTTCAAGGGCCGGTCGATGCTGTTTAAACTGTCTTTCTCACATACCAGCGGCGACACCAGTTTTAGGGACTGGTCTTCGGAGCCTCTGATTACCCAAGGTCCGTTTTTTTAGAAAAAAAAATATAGAAATTTTGAAATCACTGGTTTAGAATCAACATCAAAAGCCTTCTTCCAGGTAAATCGTTAGTCAACCGTTAGGATATGATAGAAATAAGAAATTTTCATAAGGACAGTAAAATAAACGAACACCTGTGAGCCACTGAGAAGCGTTGACGCTTCAGATGTGATTCAAGAACTGGCCGCACCTACCGCCTCTCTTTACCAAGGAAGTATATTAACATATCGACATGTTAATTACAACTGGCTTCATAAGGCAAATACTGTTGAGGATCGGCAAAATGAGCATAGCAGTTTACTTGATGCATCAGCATTTACTGCTGATGCAGCAAATGCTTAATCTTAATACTACCATTATCTAGCATAACTCTCTAGCTGGCATGTACCTGGCAGTGCCAAGGGTTAATGTTTTCGTCATAAATCACTTATAACTTAACCAGCGCAACTTAGCTTACGAAGTTTGCGGCTAATGGATATGAAGATTAGCTGCGAAACATAAACAATCAAGAACAGACGGCGGTGAAACCACCACAAGGATGTGGACAGGTTCGAACTCGATATAGAGAAAAGTTCGAGGCAAAAACGACCCCCCCCCCAATTTGAAGAAGAAAGGCCATTAATGACACTAATGGCACGGGATTAGACATCGGTTCGTCAAAGACTAGAAGAAACAACTTGGATTAAAAATCTAGGGACCGGTATGTACTAAATTACCAAGGCGATCGTCAGCCCTGTTATGGGATAGCAAGTTTATGCGTTTAATGCGTACAACAGAAAAAAAAGTGTGGCGGTTGAGGTGATTCCTCGCCAAATACCAGCCGATCTTGGTGATACATAAATATGTGCAGCGAGCTTCTTCTGCTCATCCTTTCACCGAGTCGAAGGACTTCCTATGGGATGTCTACTGTCTTTTAAAACCTTTCCCTGCTGCAGCAAAGGTCGGATCTTTTAGTAACGTTCTTATACATTCTAAAGACATATGGTTCAGATAACTAATGAACACGTCAAGAAAGAGCCGGTGTTGATCAATGATACGTAAATAAGTTTCTCCTTCGAGACGGCCGGAGCTGAGGACTAAGGAAGAGGAAGAAAGCGGTGAAACAAGCGAATGACGTACATTGTGGCATACTTAAGAGCTTCACAGAAAAGACTGGGCGAGGGTTGTCGAACATCATCGCTGTCGAATGCGCAAAACAAATCATGACAAATGTCGCCGAACAACATCTGTTTTCCGTCGATGGCAGCTGAGTGCGAACACATGGAAAATTCATTTCATTCGCCTAATGAAGAACAACGATCGAGAATCAATCGTCAAAATGCCTCTATTAAAGTTTCAATCTAACGCGCTGCGCTGAACGATCAGGGTCGCTGAGAAACTTCGCCCATCAAAACTTGCAACATTTCATTTTCACTGCTATACATTTCATTTACTTTTATTTTTTAAACTTCTATTTATTTAGTCAATTATCAGAAGATAAATAAGATCACTCACCACCTGAAAACAGAAACGTCAGATATCAGGTCGCAATTCTCAGAAGCTACGGTAGGAACACACTGAAACTCTGTTCTGCGCCTTCTGTCCCAGAGTCAACCGCCTATTACCATTCCGTTGGTTGCTTTCATCGAAGCATAAAGGCAAATACCATGGCAAAAGTGGGGCGTTGAACTCAGAACCTGAGGTATGAGAGGTTCTGAGTTAAAGCCCCGGTCAGGGTCACTCACGCCTCTTTGAGGTAGATAAAATAGTACCATCGGTGAGAGGGAATCAGGAGACTATGCGATGCGCTTGTCAAACAGCATATAATCTGCCTTTAAAAAATAAGGCACTTCTGACGGATGACCCAAAAACGGAGATTAGCGCTGCATCATCAAGCTCATGAAAAGACCGGCGTCAAAATAGCCCAAAGATAAAAGTGAAGGAAGGCCGACATTCCAACGTTGACCAACTTCGATATTTTTTCTATGCACAGAAAATTAACATTCAAAATTTACACCGCCTTGCGATTTTACGCAAGTACACACTTACAAAGCAAATAATACACAAAGACCAAATATCAGCATTAGCATAAGTGCCCACCCACCAAAACCAGATCATAATCTACAGCAATTAAGAACGATGCCAACAGTTCTAATCAGGTACCGTTAAAGCAGTAGTAAACACCCATGGAAACTGGGCAAATTCTTATTTCATTTAGTCCAATTGTAGCGAGTACAAAGTTTATAAATTTGACCTCTTACGCTTACATCAGGGAGAAAGGACGAGCAAATCAAACGCATCGCAGAGATGAGTAGGCTGTACAAATGAGCTGTGATTCTTTAAATCAAACGGTAGCAGTAACATATCTAAAAAGTTCTTCAAAAAACTTCAGCATTACAGCTACTAGATTATCCGCAATCTACCCTAGTTGGCATGACATTCAGGTTGAAAAGAAATAATTTCCACATGTAATAAACAAACTTATCAACTGTGTAACTTAATTCCACAAATGGACAGCAGGTCGCACTTTTAAATATCTTAATGTACTTTGAAAATTAACTTT